TGAAAGGAGAACAGGAGGAGAAGAGGAAGATCCAGTCACGTGACTATGAGAGATCTCTAGTTTGAGAAACAGTTGCCTCACATGTCCTTAACTGCCAGCTTCATTAGACAGTAAAGGGAGCAGTACACACTGATGCATGTTTCCCACATGGTGTAATCTTCATTTCTTAGAACTAGTGTTAATATAGATTTAGTTTTAGTCATAATCTTTTAGTCATAGTCTAAAAGGTCATAGCTTAGTCAGTGGGATTCTTTTAGATTTAGTCTCATTTTAGTTCATACACAGTTCATAAAGCATTTTAATTTCCCATGACATAAAATTAGAAATGTGACCACATACCTGCTCTTCTCTTCCTCACAAGTGTTGATGTTTTGTCCTGTTCTCAAAAAAAAAATTACGATGGACAAATCAAATGTGCACATAGGAAAGTAAGAAGATTACTTCTGATTGGATCACTTCCAAACTTAATTTTTCTACATGACTTATTTAGTTCTGACAGGATCTCGTCTCTCCAGAATAATTCCATCTTATTTTAATTTACTGAAGAAAGTGTAAATACATTTCATCTGTGTTTTTGGCATTAGCTTTTATTTGGCTGTCGTCCTATTTTTGTCAGAAAAAAGGCACTTGACAAACATTAACACTGGTTAGAAGAGAGTTCTTTTTTCAGGCGCATTTTGAAACTATAAGAAAAAAACAAACGTTTTCAGCTGTCTTAGTATGAGTCTTTTAACAAGATAAACTTTCATTAGGGAACACGCTGAGCTTTTGGAACACGGGAGTGAAATGGGCCTGTTTTCCTATGCTGAAATTCAATTAAGCATCATTAATGATTTACAAATAATTACTTCATTTTCCATGAACTGCCATTTACCACTTAGGTACAAAGAAATGTTCCTTTTAAACAAGGACCTCTCTAACCCACCCTAAACTTTGAGTGTTAAATGTTTTATTTTTATTGCCCTGCATGGAATTATAATTAGTGCTAGTACTAACTGCATCAAAATAAATGATTAACCCGACTTAATTTTTTTCATTGTACTGCTTCTCCTCTCCTGTTCTGTTTTGCTTGTGAATGTGAATCAAATATCTGAAGCATGGATCGGTCATTAGCATCACGTTTAACACCTCACCTTTTCCCTTTGAGTTAGCAGCTCTTGCTTTGCTTTGTCGGCTTTCTCTTCCTCACTCTCCGTCTTTACTCCTTCCTTCTCTGGAGTGGCATCATCCACGGCAACATCTGAAGACATGTCTGCCATTTTTTTGGAATCGCTTCTAAATTTGGGGACCAGTGGTGCGATGTAGCTGCCGACAAAAGCCTGAACACTGGGCCGTGGGTAGGACAGATAATGAGTGAAGCCTTTTCTAGGGGAGGCCGTCGCTACAGCTTCGCTTTCGGCAGAAGGAGCCTCTACTGGAGGACTAGGCGAAGAGGAAGAGGCAGAGGCAG